GATGGATGGAGATGGGCCGTGACCCAGAATCTTACCAACAATTTTCTCCCGAAGAGCAAACAATTAATCAGGACAGATCTAACCAGATTGCTCGAAATTATCAACAGACACACAGCTTAGGTTTTGCTGATGCGTTGCCGTTACAATGGAATCCGCCCAACACTCGCACAGAATGGAACAAATGGGGCAGCACATGTCAAGACTTTGCTCTTATTTTCTCTTTTTGGGCCAAGTGGACGCAAAAATAAAGCAATGCTGCTGTCAAAATCCTTACTTGGACACAAGCACTTGCTCTCTTTGTGAAGCATGGAGGTGCAAGTGCTGACTTTCTGCTGCAGTGTGAATTTGTGGGAATGGCTGCATACAAATTCAGGGTGCTTACGTCTTTTCTGTTTCAGACACAACAGCAAAATCCTGTTTTAAGCAGTCTGCAGTTTACTAATCGTGATCACACAAAATGGCTTGAATCTTTCCCTAACGAAACTGCTTTCCCCGACGGTTTGTTCTTTATCCCTAAATGGGATTTGAATGAAGCCAGCGTCAAACTTCAAGCTTTGCGGGTTGAAGTTCGTTTAGTCGAAAATGTCAACCCGCATGTCATTCGTATCACTACCACAGCATTCTGTGAATCCGTGGGGCAGGAACAGAAGATTCTTGAGAGTGCGCCTTTGTCGCAAAAATGGAAATTTCCCAGATTTAGAGGCAAAGGTTTGCCTATTCCTTGGATTCAGCAAGTTATTCAGCTTCAAAAGGATGATGCAAATAATTGCATTTCCACGCAAGTAAATTGCATTTCTCATGTTCCGCTTGAAAAATGGAGTTCTTTGAACGCTGTTGAAATCAGGAAAGCTCTGCCGCCCAAGCCTGGCCCCATGAAGCGATTCAAAGCGGCCAAACTGCGATTAACCAGATTCAAAGACACTCTTGAAAGATACAAACAAAGTCAAAATACTTGAAAGTGATTTCCGCACGCACGTCATTGCGCCTTGTTGGACTTCTACGGAAGCCTGTGCAAGTTGTGCTAAGTTGCTTAACTTCTCTGTTGAGCCGCGTAACCTGACGCGACGTTGTCTCCGCACGAAGGACTTTCATGTACAGGTCTTAGACGACTGGTCGCTGCAGTATGAGTCAATGATTTGTTGCATTGATAAAATCATTGCAACGCTTAGCTAAGATGGCTAGCTCAAAGAAAGCTAGACGATGATTGAATGATGCACAAGGCATCTTTAGTCGTATTCGCTTCAGACTTCGGTCCGCAATCACCCCAAAGCCCCGTTCTAGTTGTTGATGCCCCTATATGGGGTAAGCTTCACAGCTAACTACTGGTGAGCAGTCTTGCAATGAGAAGCTGACTGCTCAGTTTGGCCGAATCTTTTGATCTACAGCAAACTACAACGAAAGGGGCTTAACTTCAAGACTTCTTTGTGGAACCCCCTTTTGAGACCCTTACACAGACCCATGTTTTCTGGTAGAAACCCTGATGAAAAAACCCTTTCTGAGAAGGTGGCCGTTTGGCTGAGCTTGACCGGCGGCATGGGCCGTGGACCTGACGATCATCCGAAAAGTACAAAAAAAAATTGATTTTGGGTTTGGGCCTTCTGATTAAGATTTAGGGCTTGGGGCTTGGGGAAAGCGGTTAAAGCTTGGGGTTTAGGAGTTCGGGTTTAGCTTCAGAGTTCGGGGAGTAGCAGCCCACACCCTCTGGGCCCTTAATCCAAAGACAAAGTGGCGATTTGCGATCTGAGTCCCGGGATGCTGAAACTCTTCTTATGCAGGGGCCGTAAGAATTAGAACAGGGTTTTGGGGGTTCCTTATTATGATTATAACATAATATGCCCCAAAAACCCTAGTCTAATCATTAAGCCCTCTACACTACAGTATCATGCCCTGGGGCCCTCTGTGCAGCATTTTCGATCCGAGAGACTCGGGGGCTTCGCGAGTCCAGTGCACTCAAGCACCGCAGACAAGCCAGCAAAACAGGGTTTTTGGGGGGGGCTGATACCGTCATAAAAGTGGCCCCCCCCAAGTCGTAACTATGACTATTTAGGCCCCTATATGAAGCCGAAGGATAGGGACGCTTCAGACGCCTGTCCATCAGGAACTAAAAAACCGGTCAAGGTGTGCCCTGGTGCCTCCTCGACTGGCGCAGAAGCCATCAATGCAGAGGATCACCATATATAGAATATACTATAACAAAATCGAAGACAATACATATAAATATACATAATGGAATATACTATAACAAAATCGAATACAATACGTATATATATATATATACATATCCATACATATATATATATGTATATATATATATAGGGTTTGGATCGAGCTGTCAGGAAAGATAGCATTGCCAGACCCCAGTGCTCCGCGAGCACGCTTTGCCGCCATTACTAAGGGGTTTCGTGGCTCCCCAAGCTGGCATCGGCGACTGAGGAATCGCCGTTCCCGCCTACGAAGGCGTGTGCATCGTCTTCGTGCTAGTGGCGAGGTCCCAATTGCTGCTGACATATCTTTCCTAGCCTCCCATCACTGCAAACCTGCATATCGGGAGCTGTCAGCTGCGCGAGTGGTTCCTTTCTCCTTCCGGATGGTAAGAAAGGACAAATGGCAGTACGGCAAACCAGATCACCGTTATCCAGAAGTGCCATCTGGAAGGCCGTGGCATATCTGGCCTGGCTCCTGGTCGGCCTCTCCCAAGGGGAGGGATGTCCCCAAGCTCAGATACGATCAGATGCAACTTCCTGCCAATCTGTCCAGGGACCCGCGTGGGAGTGGAGAGGAGTCTGCGTCAGGCAACTCCGACATGATGCGAGAAATCCAAAGGATGGTGACAATGGCGAGACGAGCCGATGGCAAAGTTCGGCGCTTACAAGACGCCAAGGCAAAACGGGAAGCCCAATGGGTCCTTTTCGAAAAGAAGTCGAAAGCAGACTTCTTAGAGCAAAAACGCCTCTTCGAGGCCGAGATCAAGCGCATCACAGACGAGATCGAGGAGGCCACCAAGCAGGGCATCAATGCTTCAGTCGAGGCTCAGGATCTGGCAGCCAACGGGCTCAAACCCAAGGAACAGCCCGTGGAGATGGAAGACTCGGATCCTTGGAGCAGACTGGTCCAGGAGGATGCTGTACAGGAGCAAGGTTTCCTTGGGGAAACCCTCAGAGCGGCTCGGCAAGCCAGCTCGGCAGCCCCATCAGGCCCAAGCGATGGGAGATTGGCCCATCCTGCAGATGCTGCACGGCTGCTAGCTGCTACCCTGGCGGCACTACCACCTGGGACGGACTTGAGCCAGATAGGTCTCCCACCGACTGCACCACCAGTGAGTCAATTTCCGGGCCATTCCGGACCTTTCGCTGGGTTTGGTACTTTTGGTATGAACGCCCCGCAGATTGGTACAGCTACCCCAGGACCACAGCAACCAGTTTACCAGGGCATGCAGTCTGTACCTCAACAAGGACCCCCACCTGGGTTGGCACCAGATGCTTTGCATATGTCCGCACCGACACCAGCGGGCCCTTCGCCAGCCCAGGCCGGAGCTTATACGGCGCTCTCTCCAGGCGCTGGGACAAGACCAGCACCATACCCTCCATCGCCGCCGATGCCAAGGACTACGGCGGCAGAACAAGATGCAGATGTCTCGATTCGGAAACCGGCAATGCCATTGCACACTTGCCAAAGGGACTTGAGCCAAACCAGAGTCCCTACGAGCCAAGCCCCTCCCAGAGAGGGAGTGAAGGACGCCACGAAGAAGCCATCCAGCAAAGGCACAGCCGGAGTACCAGAGAACGAGCCCCTCCTGGAAAAGCTGCGTGCAAAAAGGGAAAAAGAATTGAAATCTATGTCCTCAGCGATGAAGCCCTTTGGTGTTGGCACAGTTCCGGCAGAAATGAATGCAGCAAACCAGAATGGGCCTCCTCCTGGTACCTCAGTCAGGGAACAGGCCGCCTCATTGGAGTACGACGACGAGGATACTCCAACAGAGGATCTTCCTACGTGACCAAGATGACCCCTGGAATACTTGCTGGCTCGACATGGTCGATTTCTCAAGAGGATCTAGTGGGGCCCTGGCAGTTGGAATTGGGACTGGGTCCAATTCCTCTGCCTGAGTTCCCCGTTGGGTACCTCTGGGATCGCGACGTGTGTTTTGAGCCGGCTCCAAGAGCCTCTGAGTGCAATTGTACAGTTCCGCTGCACAAATTTTGCTTGCCCCAAAGGCAGAGAGGGTTACATGTACAAAGTTGGGGAGAATATTTCGGTTTGGGTTCTTCCTTTTCGCATTCCGGGGAGCACTGGGCTTGTGCTCTGCACGGAATATGCAATCATTGCAATACGGCAACTACCAAGGTCCTTGGACTCCCCCTCCCAGGGATGCGGTCCTCAACCAGCTTTTTCCAGTGTCGGATGGTTCTTCAGTTTGGCCAGCCTCCTTGGGCTCTGGAGGTCGGTCCAGACGGAACCCTTTTCTCCTCGCGAGGGAAGAGGCATGCTTTGTATTGGCATGTCCACTACCCTCCCGTGCCACTGCCACAGCTCTCTTGTCTCGATCAAAGAGCTTCCGACCAACACTGCAGAGTGCCTAATAACTACATCGGTGGCTCTGGGGTAGTAACCTGCAGTGTCGGTTTTAACAGCCATGACGATACTGTTCACAGCAAAGCGTTCGGATCCTTCCTTTTGCTGTGGACCCAATTTTGCACTCAGTGGCTCGCCGGATGTGTCCTACATTTTCGGTTTTCATTGCTACTGATATTGGTGCGAATCCTTGTTTTGGGATTATTTCAGAGAAATCCAGGGATCCGCAGGATTGCCAGACAATCCCAACGAGTGACGCCAGACAGACTCCTCCTGGCCTTCACCTGCTTTACTGTTATGAAGGGGCCCCTGCATTTGCAATGCTACATAAAGCGTGCTCTGGCACAGGACGGTAAGCCTGGGCACCCCACTAAGGGCCATAAGCGTGTTGACAGGAGAACAGGTATTGGAGGCATATGGCTTCTTCGCTCATGGGCCGCCATTTTAGGGTTCAATAGTTTACCTGTGTGTGTTTGGGCGGCTCCTGCAGGAATGCCCCAAGCCCTGCAGACTCTCGAGGCAGTCACCTTGGTCTGCCTGGAGAATATCCAACAGACGAGTTCTGTTGTCAGGGAGGATACACCCGACCCCAATAGCATGTTGCAGATTGCTAGGTCGGTGATGCAACTGAGCGACTATGATGCCCTGACTCCCCATCACTGTGTTGCAATGCGAGCCGGGTACCCGGCCCATCACTTCCTTGCATATGTGCAGTTACCTTGTACATATCAGGATTTCATCAGCGAAGCCATGACGATGTGTGCCCACTTGCAGGAACATTCGGTTTTGTGCCCGACCAGACCTCAGATTGCCTGTGGTGTGGGGACTTTTGTAGTAGTTCCTCAATGGGCTCTTGGATCCGACAAGACTGTTGTCGTTATGGACTTCTCATATTGGGGAGGACCAGTTTTCGCTGTATTGGATTACTGCTTCACTGCTAGGTTCACCGTAGCTCAGTATGCCAAACTTCATGCTGTAGGGCCGTGGGAGGTTTTCCACCCGGACATTACGGAACCCCTAAGTGATGTGGTCACAGTGCTGGCCAAACCAGGAGATGTCCTGAGATTCTGCCCGTCAGGCACAACGCCACTATTCCGAAATACGTTTGATGAGCTGCTTAACAATCCCCTTCTTTGGGACGCATCCCCGGCGTACATCCCGCGGGAATCCGTCTCTTCCAGATGGTATGCCATGCGGAGCCATGTGACCCGCACTCCGCAGTACGCTGGGGCCAGCAGGCAGGAAATCCAAAACATAGCGGCAGATGCCTTTGATTCCGAGGCAGAAGATCTCGTGTTCACCTATCCCCTCCCCAATAGTGCCCTACATGAACTTGTGCACCAGGGGTTCTCGATCCGAGGTGTTCTTGCTGCAACAGAGAAATCTGCGTCGGGAGGTCGCCATGGCATGCTGGCCTTTGTCGATGCGCGCCCACTTGGCGTCTCTCCCTCATTCTTGCAGTTGGCTGATTCCTCCATCATGGTTGAGCAGCTTGTTCGGTTCATCGATTTCAAACCGCCCATTGGCTTCAATGTTTATGCCCAGGGCATGTATGGTCAGGATCGAGAGGTGCAGATTTTTGACCAATGCACCATTGTCCTCTCACTGGTGCCAAGTGACGCTGTCCCGCTCCCTCACCGTAGCCTTTCAGCGCCACCAAGCTACCATGGCCCACCACAGGCTGTACCTGTTAGTGGTCAGACGAGACACGAGACAGGAGAACATGGACCCACGGTCTTCGCCAGGGAAGATGTAGCGCAGCAGGATCCCATTGCACTACTCGACCTTGAAGAACCGGACGAAGAGGAGTCGGAACATGAGAATATCATTAATGCCGGCTTCATGATCTTCACTCCTAGGTTCCTACCAGAAATTGTGTATGTAGCCCTACAAGCCCCTTGTACCCTCGATCGGGCCCTACGAGAGGTTGACGACGCTAGACAGTCACATATCTCTGTCCATTTTGACAGGCTGGTGCCAGCGGTGCCACAACCCGACGCGTCTTTTGGCACTGTGCTTTCGGTCCCCAGCTGGGCGAACCATCTATCTTGTGTGCTCATCGACACTCGCAGCCTCGATGGACGGCTGTTCGCTTTTGAGATCAGGGGCAGACTGAACCGGTCCTCACTTCTTCAACAGGTTGGGCTTGGAGCCGACCAGGCTGTTGATGTCTTCCTGCACGGACGAGTTCTGGATGCTGTGGATTGGTTCCAATTCCTGTCAGGCGATGTTGTGCAAATTCTGCCCAGGGATAGTTTGCCGCCACCGCCCATTGCTCTAGTCGATATGCTAAGGGACTCTGAAGGTTGGATCTATCCCTGTCCAAGCTTCGATGGACCAGCAGAGGTGGCATTCCTTGTCCTTATCGATGGAGGACATCGAGTTGTCCCTGTAGACACTGACACCATACAGTCGTCACGTGCCTTCAAGGCCGAAGTATCGAAGCTTGTTGGGTACTCTTACGATAATGTCACGATCTGTCCGGCAATGCCGAGGATTGAAGATCTTGCTGTCCTCGGGCAGCGTTGCAAAACTGCACTAGTTGCCACAGAGAAGCTGACCAAGGTTCCGATTCCTCCAGGTAGAATGTGCCTTAAACAAAATATTGCCTTTTTAGACGCGAGGCTTCTCCTGAGAGACGTTGCATGGAGCCTCGCACCACAAGGCTATGCCGACGTGCACGACCTGGCCTCCCCGTACCAGTACATAGCCCCTACTGGCCTTTCCGTGAGCATCACTGGCGCTCCCATTGAGTGCCATAGGGACCGCAACTTTTTTCAGATCTCCAATGGGACCCTTCTGAGATTGGTGCATGTGCATGATGAGATCGCAGGAGGCAGCTCCTCCAGTGAGACCAGTGTCAGTCAGACAGCCTCTCTCCTTACAATAGGTGAGTCCGAAAAGTCTTCAGATATTGGGAACTCGATGATTGGCAACTCTGCGGCCGAGCCACATAACAGTTCCAACCCTGCAAGCCCACGACGATCGCGCAGCAGATCACCCGTTGCCAGAGCTGCCCCAGGTGGTACTTGGGTTGCCGGGCTTGGCCTTGCATACGTAGCGCTCACAAGCCAAGTGATGCAGGCTGATGCCCTCCTGGACAATAGCACAGTTGGACTGCCAGGCCTAGCTGCCGTCACTCAGCATGGGGATAGCTGCCGACTTGCCCATTGCTTTTGTCTAGGGTTAAAAGGGCTTGCCTTGGGTGCATGGGGTTTTCTCCTCTTAGGCATTTGGCATAGACCTGTGTACTTTCAGGAAGCTCCTCTTGAGGATCCTCCCTGCCCCAGAACTCATAAACTCTTGCAGGAACCGGAAGGAAGGACGGCCACAGAACAGTCCCACCTAAACACCCTCCGTTCTTTTGTGAGCGCACTTGGTGGCCCATGGCTCCCCCGCCTACCATATGATCTGCAACACCTGCTTCAGCAAGATTCAGATGGAGAGAGCGACCAGGATGCTGAGGATGACACCCTCGCACAGGTCACTTGCTCTGTGCTGGCGCCCGACTTTACTCCGGCCTGGTACAGCATAGAGATTCACATGCCAGCCACAACCGATGAGGTTATCACTGCCCTCCAGCCGTTGCGCCCAGACCGAATGAGGTCGCAGCTTCCTCAACTTGTGCCTGTATTGCCGCAGCCCAGGGCTACCGTTGCGACGTTTGTCTCGGTTCCAACATGGAGCCCAACAGACCAGTGCGTGTGTTTTGATTGCACTAGGGTTGACCACCGATTGTATGGTACCCTAGTCCCAGAGTACGTGACCCTGCAAAGGCTCCTCCATATAGCCGACTTCCCGCCAAACCTTGCCATTACAGTGTGGGCAGGGCCAGACCAACACCCTGTTGGACAAGATGAAGTCGTACATACTTTTCCAGGGATGCTTTTCTGTTTCTTGCACGATGGCGAGGAACCGCAGATCCCCATCACCCTGGGGCAGCTATTACAGTTCCGGAGTTGGAACTCTCCGGGAGAGCTTCCAGAGCCCAGGACCATCCATGCATACGGCCTTGTCTACTATCGGCAGGCCCAGCTTTTTGTCTCCGACCCCTACCTTCCCACCAGACACCGCCAGCACATCGCCGAGGTCACGGGAGCTGACATTACTCGGATGCGTTTGTACGCCGGGTCCCCAAGACCTACCGATGCTGCGATCAATGGGGTTGTTTGCAAGACCATTTTGGCTGTCGGGGATAGGCATAGGTCCTATGTGCAGCCTGCCTGGCACCTAGCCCTCCTAGATTGTCGCCTTATTGGACTAAGTTGGCGAACTGTCACTGTTGAAGGTGGCACTTTCAACCTTGAACAGGTTCTTGAGGATTTGGATCAGCATGCACCGAATGGATGGCATTCAGTCATCTTAGATGACCGTAGACAGACAGGCCATATTGAGGCTAGACCTGGACAGATCTTTCCCATTGTCTTTTCTCTTGGGGACAGGAATAGCCGACCTGTCGCCACTGAGCAGACAGCGAGGGACCCTCTTGGCGAAGACCCAGGTGAAATTAATAGTGGCCCAGGGTCTGAGCCTGGACGGGATGAGCCCTCGTCCACCCGTGTCAGAGGTGACCAAGGGCAAGCCATGCAACAGGATAGGTCGTCAGGCTCTGATTCTGGACCCATACATGCCTATGTTAGTCGGCAAGATCAGGTACACGATAGTGACACGCCAGTACCTTTCCTTGTTTTCTCACAGGAATACTGGCCAGAGCTCGTAGTAGTCCGTCTTGCTCTTCCGACAGGCACACACGGTGCTATTGCTGCAGTTGAACAGGCCAGAGATGCGGAGGACCATCGTGGTCGCTCTAGGCTTATTCCTGTCTTTCCGCAATCACGGGAGAAACAGGCTTGCCTTATAGCTGTGCCGGTCTGGCCCTTTGAGGGCATTGCAGTACTGGTTGATAACCGTGTTGCCAACGGAGGCATTTTCGCTGTGATTCTTCCCCGCATTACTTCCCGTGAGGCACTTCTTAGGATTGCCGGCCTACCGGATGACTCAGACCATGATGTCTACCTCAGAGACACTCCATGGCCATGTACAAATGAACAGGTTGTCTTTCTGAGTCAAGGGGACCTGATCCTCATATGCCCCAACACCGGAAGGCCTGAACTTTTTGGTGGTTTAGACCAGTTTCTTCGGGTAGACCGCAGATGGGACCGCTGTCCATCTCTACCAGGAGATGTGGACAACCTATCTTGGGTCCTCTCGGATGGCACCAAAAGCGCAGCACAGGTTGAAAGTGATGCCTTTGCTGCAAATAGCAATACGGTTGCACAGTGCCTTGACCTCCCCCCGGGACAGTTTACCCTTGTTCCAGCTTCGCCGCCGATTAACGATCATGCCAGAACAGGGATTGTATCTGCCAATGTCCTGGTTGCCTGCGACACAGCTGACTACCAGCCAGAACGGGTTAATGAGAGGACCCCCTTTATCCTTGATTTAAGGCCCATTCTCCTTTACATTTCCTTTGCCTATGCTGAGGATGCCACTGTTGATGTGTCCGCTCTTGGGCGACGCCTCGCTGTAAGGTGCCCGCCAGGATTCCACTTGCGTCTGTATGGGGGACAATATTTTCGAGATATGGGGAACCACTATAGGACTGTGCGCCCAGGTGAGGTCCTTAAAGCATAGTTCCTACCGGATTATACCCGGGCAGCCGCAACCTCCGTCGAACAGCCAGTCAGCCTCCTTCCAACTGACATAGGTCAGGGAGGTGATCAAGCATGGGATGGGCCTCCTGAACAGCATACGGACCAAAGAGGAGGCGATGCAGGTACAGGGGGCGCCCCGCATGGATCCTCAGACAGAACGGTCATCAACAGGGGTGAGTTTAGGGGTGATTTCCTAGACAGCTCCTTTGATATTTACAGAGGTAAAAGTAGCCTTTGTCAAGGTAGTGGAGCCGTTTGCTCCAATATCCTTGCATCCCAAGAACAGGCATCAGTCAGAACTCCACTTCTGTACACGATTTCGCGCAAAAGGAGGCACCTGCCCCTCTCACTTGGGATTGCTCATGGCAAGCGTGAAGCATGCCCTGGATATAGAGTTGAAATGTGGGCTTTGTCTTTTCTGCGGAGTGTCCTTGTTGACGGACCGGCAATGCTCACCACTTTCCTCTTCCATTGTACTTGCTTCTGCTTGGCAGGGAGCGCTATCAGTCTGCTCTGCCTCTTATCCACAGCTACCAGACACAGGAGTTTACCCCTCCTTATTCTTCTTCTGTTTGTCCATTGCGCTACAGTTCGCGCCGTGCAGATTCATAAGCATGATCTGCAAGGGCCCGCAGCCTATGCACATGGCCTAGATACCATTCCCAGAATTCCTACAGATCAGATTGGTGGGCTTTCTGGGTCGATCCCCATCCCGCTGCACTCCCGGCCCATTGCCACACCTTGCAGAGCCCACGGCCGCTGGCCATTGCAAGCCTCTCATAATGCTGATAACGAAGACAGCCTCCGTGACCTTCTCCAGGAACCTTTGACTACCCTGCTTGAAGAGAGTGCCTGGGGGGGACACTCCCATGCTTTCTTTGACGCCAGCACTTTGCTTGAGGTCCTAGTCGAGCACTTTGTTGCGTCTCCTATCCAGGAGAAGACGCACACCCAGGCCGTCTCTACCAGGCCCCCCACCCTGCGGCTTTCTGAACATTTGCCCAGAGCCACCTGTCATGACGTTTCCTCTGTTGCCCTGCGACTTGACTCTTGTTTGGACCAAGCAGCCTCGTGGTTCCGGCCAGGCAGCTGGGAACTTGCTACATCCCTACCCTCTGACCTTGCAGCTCCGGCGTGTGTCGTGGGCACCGTCACTATGCAGTGCCCATTCCAAGCCTCAGCTGGAGTCCTCGAGGGTGTGCAGGTCTTTACAGATGGATCCTTTGATGGATCAAGCTGCTCGTGGGCCTTTTGCGTCTTTGGCAGCCAAAGGGGTATGCCTTGCTTCGTTGGATGGGCTGCGGGGCGTGTCCCACACCAGAGTGATCACCCGCTTTCCATTTCAACCGCCCGTGCTTCAGCCCTCTGTGGAGAACAGCACGCCCTTTTTTGGGCAACTGCTTGGTGCATGCAATCACCAGTTCATACCGACCTTGAACTCCTTTCTGATTGTCTGGTTGCTCTCAACCAAACAACAGGCCTTTTTGGATGGAGCGAAGGAGAGACCCTGGCCCCTCTTTGTAGAGCTGCCATGCAGGCCCTTGTTGCAGGCCGACCCACTGTCCACGGTCAAGTCCGGCATGTGAGGTCCCACAGAGGCACACCTGCCAACGAACTCGCCGACTCGTTAGCTAAGTTCGCTAACTCATCGTCCCATCTTCCTGCTCAGGACCACTGTTATTGGGTTGCGCAGCAGGTTAGCCTAGGAGCCCTACCCTGGCTTTGGCTACAGGTTGAAGCCACGCTACGGCCGGCTCATTGGCCGGCACAGGTAGGCTCCACATTTGTCGATCAGGATAGACATTCTGACAATGCGCCGTTCACAAGAGACGAATGTCATCGCGCTCTGGGCCTGCCGATACTAGGGCAAGCTGAGACTGCCACCAAGGACGTATGGGGGAGACTGCACTGCATCACCGTCAATGTTCAGTCCCTTGCTGAGCTGCAGGACCCCTCAGCCCCAGACAACTCTGGCTTCACTGGCAGGGCCCGGTATCTTAGAGAACAGCTTCAAGCGATGGGTGCACATATCGCTGCTCTGCAGGAGGCTAGGTCGTCAGTCGACACAACCTATGTCTCTGAGTCTCATATACGGTTCTGCACAGCCCGGGATTCCAAAGGCAATTTTGGATGTGAGCTTTGGTTTTCACGAAAAATACCCTTCGTGTCCAAGGCTGGCGCACAGGCCTTTTTTCATCCCAATGACTTCCTCACCGTTGCAAGTGGGCCACGTGAACTCTTTGTGCGGTTTTCACGTGCTGGCACTAGGATTCTTTTCGTATGCATACATGCGCCGGTTGGGGGTAGTCCGGAGCGCGATGCTTGGTGGAAGGAGCTTAGGCAGCGGATCCGCCGCTTCAGCCGCAATGCCTGTGTTCTCCTTGCCGGGGATTTTAACTCAGGCTTTCATCACACAATTCCCCTGCGGGTTGGAGACCTTGTTTGGAGTTCGGCACATGGTGCCCCTTGTGGGCTCGAAGGGATCTTGGGAGATCATGATTTATGGATCCCGAGCACATTTTCGCGCTGCCATACTGGTAGCCACGATACCTGGCTTTCGCCTAGTGGCACCACTGGGGCACGGCTTGACTATTTTGCTGTGTCATCCTCCTGGTCAGTTCCAGAAGCCAGTTCCTGGATAGAGTCCGCTCTTGATTGGGGGCAAGCGAGAGTAGATCACTTTGGCCTTGGCCTTGTTGTCCTTTTTCCATTTACCCTGGGCACCAGTCGCGATTCTCGGCACGCCAAGTTTGACAGGGAGGCCCTGCATACGACAGCAGGGCAACATACCTTAGCGGGTATCTGTGAACAGATACCACTCCAGCCTTGGTCGAGCAACGTCCACAGACACTACGCCCAAGTTGAGACCTATTTGGGGCAAGCACTCACAGTTGCCTTCCCCTCCAAGAGGGGGGTCTGTAGATCCTCGCATTTCTCCGCAGCTACATGGGATCTGCGTCAACGCCGCGCATGGCTCCGCAAGCAGATTGCTAAAACGAATACTGCCTTTCGATCCATGGATCTGAGGGCGGCTCTCTTGAGCCTTAAGCTTGGGATTCGCCTGCGTGCCAGCTGTGTGTTGGCTGCATTTCGGGGGTTGTCTGGTTTTCGCCGCTTACAGGGACTTGTAGAGGAACTGAGGGGCACGAAGGGCACCCTTCGACATCACATCAGGCAAGATGTTCTCAACAGAGTGAGCGAAACGGCGGCACTCGCTGCTACCTCGTCAAAAGCGGACGTAGTTTCGAGGCTGAGGCCTCTCCTGGGCCCGCCCAAACGTAAGGTTAGACAAAGAAGAGCTCTGCATGGCATCTGCCACCCGAACGGAGAGCCCGCCCAGACACCTGAGGAGGCCGAGGATATATGGATTCGGCATTTTGCCGGAATTGAGGATGGGGAAAAAGTCGATCCCCTCCAGCTGGTGGAGTCCTGCCACCTTTTTCAGTCTACAAAGGACTTAGATGCATACGAGCTCACAGCGGACAGCTTGCCTACCAGGACAGAACTGGAGCAGTCCCTCCGGAGCACCCAGACCAATAGAGCGATTGGCCTTGATAAGGTCCCGGGGAATTGCTCCATTTCGCCGCAGGCCAGGCTTCTGTTGCCCTGTACCAACTCTTTCTCAAAGTATCGATGCGAGCAGCTGAACCGATCCAATTTAAGGGTGGAGCTTTGTTCGCCATCTGGAAGGGAAAGAGCTCTGCTGCACAGTGCTCAGCCCACAGAGGGATACTGGTCAGTTCGACTCCTGGGAAGTCCTTCCACCGGGTGGCCAGACAACGAGCCATCCCTGCTCTTCAACACATTGCCTCCGAGATGCAAATCGGAGGGCTACCACACTTTCCAGTGACTATGGCCTCTCACTTTGTTCGTGCTTTCCAAGAAGGTTGCACTAGGCGCAAACGTAGTTACGGCCTCTTGTTTCTGGACCTGAGAGAAGCATTTTACCGCGTCGTGCGCCCTTTACTTACGGGCACCTCGTTTTGTGACGAGGTTGTGGCACATGTGGTCCAGAAGGTGCGACTCCCGCCAGGCATCCTTCATGAGCTACAGGACCACCTACGTGGCACACCGCTGCCGGGGGACGCCGGTGCTACTGACTGGGCATCGGCGCAAATTTGCGAGGCAATGCAAAGTACGTGGTTCCGCTTCCAAGACAGTCACACAGTCGTTAAGACTGGAACAGGATCTAGGCCAGGGGATAATCTGGCAGACGTCTGCTTCTCCTTTATTTTCGCGAGGGTCCTTGAGGACATCCGCAGGGAGGTGCGTCAGACTGGGCACATACCTGCAATACCGTGGTCCTCCGACATGGTGTGTAGCGTCCAGGAGGTGGCCACAGGCTCAGGAATGAGGGAGGTGCTTGACGCGACTTGGATGGATGATGCCACGTTTTTAGTCGTGGCAGACACAGCAGCCGACCTACCAGTGGCCATGGCCAACACCGGTAAAGCAGTCTTGGATGCTTGTGTTTCCAGGGCCCTCCTACCCAATTTGGACAAGGGAAAGACAGAATTTATCGCGCATACAGTTGGTGTAGGGTCAAGGAAGGTCCGCAAGTCACTCTTCTCGCTCCCGGATGCTTCGCTAGCAATCCCATGTAAGCTATGGGAAGGGGCAAGCATCCGCCTGGTCCCCACCTATCAACACCTGGGTGGACTTATCCATCACGACTCGTCCCTTGTTAGGGAACTGAAACACCGAGCAGGGGCAGCCTGGAAGGCCTTCAATGCTCGAAAGAAACGTGTCTTCAGTGCCCCTACTGTCTCTTTAAGAGACAAGGCTATTTTGTATGAGTCCTTGATTATCTCCATTTTGTTTCATGGGGCCGGAACATGGCGGTCTCTTCGTCCGGCAGAGACCTCCATCCTGGAGAATGCTCATTTCGGGATGGCCTTCTTCATGGTGCGGCCTCTACACACGTACGAAGAGGCCCTTCACTTGGGGGGTCCCCATGTACTTTCCCTCCTGAAGCTTCCG